TGTCATAGTTATACGGATTTGAAAATGACAATGTTACCCTTAACGTCAAAACTTCAACCCCCTCTACTTTCTACAAATATTTTTTTAATGAGTTTATATTTTAGGGATTTATTACTATCATATAGGACAACAATTTACCAAAGTATGAAGCCAATCCCAGAACATTGACTTTTTGGGCTGGGGCGATTGAAAAAGAATCTCTCATATTCAAAATTGACGTCGTGGCACTCCATGAAGTGAAAATTCCTTTTTTAGATGCCAAAATTTTTTATTGACAAAATCCTCCGTCAATCAAGAGTCAATACTATGCATATGATCACCATATTTTTATTTTTTGTTATAGATCACTCATACGTGAGATTTCAGGTACACCGTTTGAGCACCTAAAAAAACGTATTTTCACTTGAAGGAGTGTCATGACGGCAATTTTCAATATTTCAACTTTAAATTTTTTTATAAATACTTGTATATGTAATAAAGATAACGGTTTAATTCAATGTAATGTACGAGTCATATTTTGTTAGAAAAAAATCCTGAAAATTGGCCTGTTTTTTCCCTTGTGACAGTAGACTTCCCTCTTAACTCTCCCGCGAAATTACGCAAATGTTTGGTAAATTTCTTTGCAGTTAATAATTATTATTATTCCTTAGAAATTCAACTTCTTTTACAATTTTTATTATTTTTTATTGATAATTTTTTTGTAGACTTTTTTCATAATTCTGAACAATCAATCGTAAATTTTTTTAAAAATTTTAATATTTTCAAAACATAAAATTTTGAAAATAATAAAAAAAAATTTCTTTTTAATTTTAATAATTCACAATAATTTTAGATCCAAAATAATGCCAGAAAAAAATTGACCCCCTTTAACAACATTAATTTCGATGAGTTGAAATTTCATCCATCACATCCCTTAAAATTATGGTCTAAATCATTTTTGCTTTAAAATAAAACTTTGGAAGTATAATTTTTGGTACCATTTAATTTAAATTATAAGATATGTTCTCGAGTTTTTTAAATCAATTTTTGTTTATATTTTATAAATTAAGAAAAGATAGAAAAAATAAAAAAGAAATATCTTCTTAATAATAATGTAATAAGTAATTCAATTTATAATGCTTATAAAAGCATGCAGTGAAAAGCCATCTGGCGATAGAAACTTAAAGTGAAACAAATTTAGCACGGATGATAACAAAAAAAATCTCTTCTCTAGACTAGTAGAAGCGAGTAGTGTCGCCCTCTGTCAGTTACCGAAAAAAATAGAAAGGTTCCCTGAAGAAGACAAATAAACGTTGCCGGAACGTTCCGGTGGGACCTTTCCATTTACGCCCCACCAACCATAAGCAGGGACGTTGCCTGGCAACGTGCCTGTCCTACTGAAATCCGGAACGGTACGGAAGAGCCTATAGGCCACCCAGAGGCATGTACACACGTGGGCTAAATGTAGCAAAATCGAGTTGAATTGACGGCATGCATGCACGCGTGCGTGCAATTTTTTGGTATTTCATAGCATTTACGTTCTGTTACTTTTTCAACGTGTATGCCTGGACAGGCTGTAGATTTTATAATGAAATATTTGAATTTATTTATTTAAATATTCAATAAAAAATAAACAAAGGGTAAAAAGGTAAGTGACTATATTTTTTAATGATATAATTAATTTTTCTTTGTAAATGTATATTATTTATGAATGACTTAAAACATTATTATTGTTTTTAATAATAAAGTAATTTATTTTATATACATTCTGAGGTTATGTTTCAGAAAGCGAGTATAAATTTATACAAATAAAAATTAATTATATCATTAAAAAAATATGGTCACTTACCTTGTAACCCTTTGTTTATGTTTTTTTTATAGAATATTTAAAGAAATAAAAACAAATATTTCTTTATAAAATCTGCAGCCTGTCCAGACATAAACGTTGAAAACGTAGCAGAACGTAAATGCTATAAAATACCGAAAAATTGCAGGCACGCGTGCATGCATGCCGTCAATTGAACCTCCCAATTCTGTAACTCGTTTAGCGCTCGGACGGACGCTCTATTAGAAGTCGGGTGGCAGCGAGCGTCAATGGCTTCCTTGTTGCTACCCGACTACCAATAGAGCGTGCGGCCGGGCGCTAAACGAGTTATAGAATTGGGAGGTTCAATTCAACTCGATTTTGCTACATTTAGCCTACATGTGTACGTGCCTTTAGGTGGCTCATAGGCGCATCCGTAGAACGGTCTTGTCCGCTTTACGGGAACGATCCAGTGGAACCGACCGAAGGGTCCACCGGGCCGTTCCCGCAACGTTGATGGAACAATACGTCCGTCCAGGTAGCACCTCCACAAGTATTAATCAAAAAATCAAATATGCTTGAATTATGTGCTAACCTCTTACTCCTAAAAGCCACGAAACCATACGATGTTAGCGTTTTGCGCCTGTATCTCATTTTGATTTCTGATTGTAAAAACTATATTTTGTTTGGTACACAGAAAAAACCTAATCTCCAATTGAGTCCAAAATTTATACTCAATTTTATACGCATCAGATATGAGACAGGCAGATGACGCCAAGTTCTGTCATTTAACATGAACTCATTTTGAGATGCAACAAATATGAGCCTAACTTTTTTCTGTGTATTTCAAAACAATATGATTGTCACAACAAAACAGGTTATTTTGTATACAATATTATTTTTTTGTGTTAAACATAATTTAGTTGTACCAATAAAACTTATTTCGAACTTTATTCCGTGTATAACAATTAACAATACATTCTGGTTATGTAAATTATCCTTATTAAATTAAATTTTTTTGAAGTCATCATAGTAAACTGAAAGGTATTAAAAAAGAAGAAACCTTAACCTATAACGAAAAATTTTGCACAAATACTTGAAATATAATAATCACTAAACGTAAATAACACGTTAGATTTAATATATTTAATTAAAAATTGCTTGTAATCGCGTAATAAAGAAAGAATAAAGGAAATATGTTTTTAGCTTATAAAAATGAAAAGTGTTCTCCTTTTTTTTTACCAACCCCACATAACTTTGGCATGCGGAAGCCAAGGTATCTGTATACAGATTTCCCAATAGTCCCTAAGCAAAAAAAAAAAAAAAAATACATAATTACTCTAAAAATGATGCCAACCTAGAAATCTGAAATTTCAGCCAGAATTATGTTGAGTAACATAATTTTTGTTTTGTAATTTTAATCTTTCGATGGATTATTTTTATCCACGACGGATAGAAATGTTGCATTTTATTTGAATCCATTTTAGGATTTTATTTAGCGCATTTCACTCCTGCGTTGATTCTCATGAAACTTACAGCATGAATTTTTCACAACGGGCATGTCGAATGTTATGTCTTACACTGTAAAAAATTTCTTGGGTAATTTTACCAAAAATCTTCTGGAAGCAAAAAAACCCATGAATTTTTAGGTAGAAATACCCAATCATCTTGGTATTATTACACAATATATTTGGAAAAAAAACCAAAGAATTTTTAGGTAAAAATACACAATCTTCTTGGTATTTTTACAAAATATATTTGGAAAAAAACCCAACAATTTTTAGGTAAAAATACACAATCTTTTTGGTATTTTTACAAAATGTATTTGGAAAATATACCCAAGAATTTTTATGTAAAAATACACAAACTGTTTAGTGTTTCTACCAAAATTATTTGGAAAATATGCCCAAGAATTTTTGTGTAAAAATGCACAACCTTTTTCGTATTTCTACCTAAAGTAGTTGGAAAATATACCCAAGAATTTTTATGTAAAAATGCACAAAATTTTTCGTGATTCTACCTAAATTATTTGGAAAATACACCCAAGAATTTTTATGTGAAAATGCACAAACTTTTTCGAATTTTTACCTAAATTATTTGGAAAATATACCCAAGAATTTTTATGTGAAAATGCTCAAACTTTTTCGGATTTTTACCCAAATTATTTTGAAATAGTACCCAAGAATTTTTAAGTAAAAATGCACTATTTTTTCGTATTTGTACCCAAACTATTTTGAAAAAATTCCCAAAATTTTCTAGGATTTAAAGAATTTAAATAAAGTGTTTAAAAAAGATTCACAACTTTTTAATTGTTACCATGCAAAAATTTAGAAAAATAATTTTTTTCTTTATTTATAATGTGATTTATAAATAGAATGGTAGGAAAAAATAGTAATTTATGAGTATACATGTAAAATATATTTTATTTTTATTTTCCATTAAAAATTATTTCAAAATCTTTTAACAGTTGCAATATAAAATTTTTACATTCATTAAATTTATTATATATGGGTGATTCTCCGCGTAGCGCACAACTTGCTTTTTTTCATGTTGTGAAAGAAACATCACAAATAATATTCACATAATATTTCGATTCCAATGTAAACAAACGAAATTCAAAATATTTATTATAAACTATCATAGCTCCGGTAAGTTTACTATAACAACTTACCAAATAAATTTCTATAAATTACCGTATAAATTTCCATAAATTACCGCATAAATTTCCATAAATTACCAAAATAAAATTTTTAATTGTCGTTCGCGCTATATATGTTTTTGTAAATTACCGCGGAAATTTCCGTAAATTACCAAAATAATAATTTTTAATTGCGATTTATGCTTTACATATTTTTATGAATTTTAGACAAAATTTCTATAAATTTCCATAAATTACCTCGAAAATTTCCGTAAATTACCGAAATCAAAATTTTTAATTGTCGTTTGCGCTATATATATTTTTGTGAATTACCCCAAAAATTCCCATAAACATTTTAAATCAAATTTCAACTATTTTATAGAATTCAACAAGACAAGAATTTTTTTTTAATTTGTTTAAAAAAATTATAAAAAAATTTTCCGGCCCACCATGGATATTTATTTCTTGACACTTTATCTTCAAAAATATGTATTGATATATATCATGTCGATAAAAAAATATTTTTAAAGTTTCAGACACCAAATCGTGCGCTAACGGAGAATCACCCACATATATATATTATAACATTATTATATACATTGTCGTAATTTTTTTTAGATAAATAGTATATTGTAGAAAATTTAATAATAATAATAATAATGATGAAGATTAAGCATTATTAAATTCTTCGTCCAAGCGCAAAAAATTCAAATTTTTAAGTACATTTACTCATGAGAAAAAAATATCAAAGTCACAAAGTCATCGACAATTGGTGCACCTACCCTATAAGAATTATTTAAATCTAATTTAATTTAATCTACATTTTTAACACTATTTACAAAATTCAATAATATTATTAATTAATGTGCCAGCCTTCTTTGAAATTTTTGTTCCTTTATGCCCCTGCAGAGGATTAACATCCAGCAACATGCTGTAAAAAAACATTGTTAATGTAATACAAATTTGGAAAATTAATTTAGTAAATAATGAAATGAATAATTTACCGTTGAACAAAATCTAAAGACACAGCCATCCTAGTCGGGTAGTTGTACCCATATACGTAGTAGCTGAGAAGAAAAAGAAGGACACCTTTCAGTATATTATTGCTTTTCAAAACAATACTTCCCTCAATTACGACGTAGCAAGTGCACGCTTCATCATATAAGGATGACCCTAAAATATTATTAAAGTAAATTAAAGTCCAGGAATAAATGAAATATGTATTTCTTAACTAAAATTTATTAAATTTAAGGTACCTGTCACAATTAACGCTGGCCGACTTGAATCTGTAGCAGCATTTTTAATATCATCTTCTGTTGAAACTGGATCCTAAAAAAAAATAATATAAATAAGTATTAGGACTGATCTATATGTATAATTATAATATTCTACATATATACAGTAATATATTATGTATACCATAAGAGTAAAAAGCTCTTCTTCCTTAAACTGGCAGGCTATCAGAGGAAAAATCACTAATGCAGCAGGATATCTGCTTTGGACCTCTTTCTCTTTTTCCTTAAAAATTTTTAAGGTCTCCCTTATTTTGTCCATATATCCTGGAACATTAGATTTTTTTCTGCACTGAAAGCTAATGCCTTCAAAGAAAGAAACAATACTCTTTGACTTTGTTTCTAAATTTAAATTCCAAATATCTTGGACTTTTTTCCCTAACAGTATGTCTGCGTGCTGAATAAAATATTTATCTTCTGTTAAATGTGGCCAATCTTTTTCCAAAATTTCTCCCAATGACGTGTCATTTTCTTCCCTATGATTGATGCACCTTCTTTGAGAAGGATATGTTTTCTCCATCAACTCAGTGACAATCATAGTGTCGCATTGCTCTTCAAAATATTTCAGAAGCATCTTTTTTTTCTCTTTTTGACTGTCGATGGTTTCATTCTCCGTCAATGGGGGTTCAAATGCCACACACCCATAGCAGTCTTGGCCTTTTGCGAATCTCATAATTTTAACTTTGTCTTTCCGGGTTATTGGCGATTCATCGCAGTCTTCATTATCTGCGAGCCGTCTTTTTGTGCCTCTTATCGATAATTGTTTTTGTTGGTACCTGAAATATTGTGATATATTTATTTAATATATATAATTAATTGAATTAATTGAAAAATATTTTAAAATAGACTTCGAAATGAAAAATTAAAATGAAATTTAAAAAATTAATTCCCTATACTTACTTCAATCTATCATAGATTACTGTCCTCAGTTCATTTACTCCGTCAGAATATATCTGTCCATCTTTCCACGTGACTTTTTCAAACGCTTTTGGAAATTTTGCCACAATTAGTTTGGCAATCTTTAATGTCTCGGGATAACTTGCAGACTTTATAGTTCTCAGATAATCTGCCGTTTGATGAATTAATTTTCGGACCGTCATAGAGGAATTTTCAGTAGAGTTTTTAAAGTCTTTTGGAATAATTTCTTCCCAAACAATTGGAGCAGAAAATGGTCGATCTTCAGTTGTAGAGTGTGACAATGCGAAATCGCAATTATTTGTAGAATCTATAATAATTAGTTCCACGTTTTAGAAATATTCTTCAATTTTATGTAACAATTAAATTTATGATTACTTTATGTATGTTACCTTCCACTGATAATTGACCATTAGCACACGGTGAAGAATCTTCCTTTGTCCATGAGGTTCCTTCTGGCAGCATCATGAATTTGATTAAATCTGCTTTACTTGCAATCACACACATTACTTCAAATTCCTCTACTAATGAACCGTCATTTTCAAGAACAATCTAAAAAGTAGTCATAAATACATTTTAATTTTTGTACAGTATTTTTCATAACTTAAAACTTTTATTTTTTACAACTGTTTTATAACTAAATAAAAGTAAGTTAAAAAAATAATGAAAAGTACCTGGTATGTTTGCTCCATAGGAAGATTTAATCGAGTACAGGCCGTCAAAATTAAGTCCTCCTTATTTTCAGCAGGAATGATAATTGTTTTCCCTCTTTGTGGACCAGTAATTTTGAAAATATGCATGTTGTACTAAGGATTTTTACAAAACAAATTTTTTTGTCAATCAGTAGTACGAAATAAAATATCAGCATAAAGTTTAAATTACTTTTAATAGAATCTTTTTTATTAAGAATAAATAAATAGAAATAATAAATTTAATTAATAATATAGTTGCTCTCTGTAATTTAAGATAAAGTGTATTTTAAAATTAAGATTTAAATTTTTATACGGAGTAAAAAAATAATTATGCATCTACACTAAGCTGACTTTGAATAAGTCCATGTCTAATTTTAACAAACGATGTGGTATTTTGCATATAAATATTAAGCGGTTCAGGATCAAGTAACATATCATGAGGTATACATTCATAACGTATAAAACTGCCCACTTCATAAAGTCGAAGTCTTGGTTGAAAGGTAGTTCTTAAAATTTCTACCACAAAAAAAATGCACCTTTGATTGTTACACAAAATGAGTGCAATCCTTCCCATTTCTACTTTGTACTGATAAGCACATTGACGTATTGCTATAATATCTCCTTTCTGATAGTGTTTTCCTCTAAAGAAAGCGCTTGAACATTCAGTTGTTTCATTATTTCCAAGAGTATTTTCTATAGCTTCCTTCATTTCAATACAATACCAATTAATATGAAATGCAGTTTCATCATTTAATTGTAATTCATATTTACAACCTGCACCTGTACGTAACAGGCATTGAAAAAGTTCATGCTTTTCTGTCAAGGAGAGAGTTACATTTTTAAAACATTTAATATTTCTCATAATTCTTTTAAAAAACGTGTGCTTGCTCTCAAATCTTAAAGTAAATAATTTCATTACAGGGCCTAATTCCAGTATTACTTCAGGATAGTGTGTCAAAAAATGATGTTTAGGTAGCAATTTGATTGTAGGAAATAACTTTATTCTTAAACCAAGGTAATGGTTAATGATGTCTTCTAAGTAAGGAACATATGACGCATGCATTTCTGGTGCACAAACAAGTTCAATGATTTCACTTAGTTTGAGAAAACACTGCCATGCATCATCATCAGTATTAACTTTAAATCCAACAAAAAATGGAAGCAATCGAATAAAATTGAATATTTGCCATGCCCCTCCTGTAAGTTTTTTCCCTCTTTCTAATACATTTGCAGGTTTATCACGTTGATCAAGTGCACAATAATGAAACTGATCTATTTGAGCATTTAAATATGCATAGGAGAAGTAACCTTTCTTAACAAAATATTTTATTATATGTGGTAAATCACAGGCAGCAATTCCTTCCAGAAGGTCATGGGCAAGGCATGGTGGTAATCCAGAATTACAAACATGAAATCCGTTTAGTTTATTGAATAGTGAATTAAATTTGACTCCTCGGTAATGAATTCGTTTTCCCTTTAATCGCAAACATTTCAAGTAAGAGTTCACTTTTCTCGTTACATATTTTCTAGGAATATATTGAGTTTCATCTGTTTTCTCATCCATGTCATCATCAAAATCTTCATTATCATTACAATTTTCAGTTTCTTCTTTTTCTTCCTCTTCAGTCATACAATCATCTTCGTTATCATAATCATCTTCATTATCATAATCATCTTCATTTTTATCATCAGATTCATCATCTTCACCTCGGTTTTCATCTTCAACTTCATCTTCAACTTCTTCGTCAGCTTCATTGATCACTTCATCTTCAATTTCTTCCTCAGCTTCATTGTCAACTGCATTTTCAGCTTCATCATCATCTTCATTTAATTCTTTATTTTCTTCTTCTATTTCCTCGTCTTTTTTAGAGTTACTATTTTTTTGTTGATTTATAAATTGTGACCTAGTCATCAAACAGAATCTACAAAAGTCCTCGCTCTTGCTGAAATTTTCAATAAAACCTCCAATAGTATGTGCCCCTAAATTGTCATTTACAATGAAAACAACCGATCCTTTAACGAATTTGTTGGGAGAAATTTCGATACCTTCCGTTTCTAATTTCTGCAAATCTTTTATAAGTCTTCCGTACACTTTTGCATGGTCAAAGTCTTTTTCTTTACAAAGAAGAACAAGTTGAATATTATTAATATTTGAGCGTTGGTAATAAGGTAAGTTTCCTAACATTAAGTAAACTGCAAGAATCTTATGTTTTTTCCGAGCTGATCCAATTGGATTAACTATTTCAAAAGAATCTTGATATAGAATAAGAGGTAGTGATTCAGTTAAGTTAGAGAAAAATTTATTTGATTTAAACATGAATCCATCAGAAAAATCTTTGAATATATTACCATTGTTAGTATTAACATTTAAATTTATATCAAATGATTTACTTTTAAACATTGCTTTTAACGTTTCAAGAATAGGCACGTAATGGAAATGAGATGAGCGACCATTAATGCAGCCTAACGATATGCGTACCGGCTCTACATATGATAAATGTGTTTTGTAAAACAATTTCCGTTTATAATTACTGTCAAATTTTGTATTAAAAACAGATAATGAATCATTATGAAAGACTTTTTCTGTAATATAAAGAACTTCATCAGGATGTATGTTTTTTTCAATCAATTGTTGTTTTAATCGATCGCGCAAAGCTGTAATATTTTGAAAATTAATAATTCCTAATTCGTTGACAAGACATTGAATAGTAGATGCAGGAACTAATAATTCTGCTTCTAACTTTAGACATAGCAGAGCATAATTAAATTCATTCATTTTGCTATCTTCTGGTATATTTTGTATATCAAACAGTTCATCGACGTTATCAATAGTATTTTGATGAACATTTCTTATGTTTTCATTATTCCCATTGTTGTTTGTGTAGCGGATTTCTTCTTGACGAATAGTTTGTTGATTCATATTTTCCATTGATTCTGAGTTGTCCATTTCGATCCTGACAGAACGCGTGCAATTCCTGTGACTCTTTGTCACATGACTTGTAAATGAACTAACTTGAGTATATTTCTTGTCACATGTAGGAAATGGACATTTGACAAATTCACCATTCCTCATATGTTCTTTTAAATGTTTAATAAATTTTTGATAATGGTAATATTGTTTCCCACATACCAGGACGGTACATAGAAATTTTCCATTTTCATTAATTACACTTTCAGACATTCTTTCATAATAAATTTCTCGTGAATTGATATGAGTTCTGATGGTATGTAATTTTAAATTTTTGACATCTTTGAAATTCATTTGACAGCCATTAAAACCGCAATGTTTTTGCTTGCTAAGAAGGCGATGATGGTCTTGGTGATCCACATGTTCTTTGAAAATCTCAGTTCTATGTTCACAAAAGCGACAGATGAACATTTTTGGCAGATGTGAACTAAAAAGAAACAAAGTACACTTTCAACACAAAAAATATGAAAATGTCCTTTTTTGGTTTTTGAGATATTAATTATTTAATTAATAAATGTTAATATAGAATTAAATATTTTATATACAAATAAAATTACCGCAATTTTGACGTTACAAATGAAAGTTCATGTAAATGTTTATTTAAACCTATAAAACTTATAGACCCACTCTAAATTTTTTTTCAAAATTTTCTTAGTATTTCCAGGTATGTTTAAAAAAAAAAGATTAAAAAATATCATATCCAAATTTAAAAAAATTAATTTGTTTAAAAAAAATTATTATTTTTTTAATAAAAAAAACATTTTTTTGTTAACATTATTGAAAAGTAAATGAAAAACTGAAACTTTTCTTCTCTTATCAAAAATGGAAAAAACCATTTTTTCGAGTTATCTTGCACGGAGAGAAATAGATGGTAAGAAATTATGATCTTAAGATGGTAAAAAGTAGATGGTATCCGGTACAATCTATATGCTACTCGGTACCATCTAGATGTTAAAAAAGTGAGGTTATGTTACCCACTTTACAATCAAGATGGTACTCCGTACAATATGTATAGTATCCCGTACAATCTAGATTCCTGTCCGTATATGTAAGATCAAATATGATACCTGATACTATCTAGATAGTACCCCGTACCATCTATTTCTCTCCGTGCAGTCATTGAAAATGGGTCTACATTGAAGAAACTGAAATTTTGAAAATTCATAACTCGAAAATTTTTCAAAAAAAATAAAATAAAAAAATACGTGTCTCTTTTTTTCACTACAAAAGAAAAAAAAAATATATTTGGCCGAATTTAAAGGGCCGACGGAAATCTCACGTGATTTCGCCCATATATAGGGGAGAGTGGGAAAATTTCAGCAGCGAGACGTTATGTATATGACATTTATTTTATTATTAAATTTTATTTTTTTTAATGAAAAAATTATATTTCAAAGGCTTAAATATGAACCTCCCAATTCTGTAACTCGTTTAACGCTCGGACGGACGCTCTACTAGTAGTCGGGTAGCAGCGAGCGTCAATGGCTCCCTCGCTACTACCCGACTACCAATAGAGCGTCCGGCCTAGCGCTAAATAAGTTACAGAATTGAGAGGTTCATATTTACAAAGTATGAAGCAGAATATTACTATTGAAATAATTGTTCAATTCTTAATAATAGGTGTCCCACTGTTAAACACAAACCTTCAAAACAAGAAAAATGTATCAAGTTTCAAAAACTTCAAATTTTTTTATTTAATCACAATATAATTTTAATAGAATATGTGCATTGTGTAGAAAAGATTTCAAACTTTATGGTAATATCAAAAAGTGTTCAAAAATATATAAAATTGACATATTAATATGTCTTTTAAAAAAAAGTGTCCCACTGTTTGTCACTCTCCCCTATATATATATATATACTCAAATCATAGGCCAGGTCAGAGTAGAGGACTATTGGTATTGTTCTCTCGAGCTATCTTTGAACATCTTGTTACTGTAGTGATTCTCACTATACTTTATTTTCTCAATTTTAAATTTAAAAGAAAAAAGGGATTTCCACTTTCAGCGGACCCCAAAAAGAGTAAACCTTTTGTAAGGTAATAAAACATCTTGAAAAACTAAATTTTTCGTTTTGCAAACCCATAAACTGTACTAAAGTCGAGAAATATAAGATTATCCAAAATAAACAATTATTTACAGGTTACAGCGCCTTTCGAGAACATATTTAAAATGAATCTTAAAATATGTATATACATACTTATAATAAACAAATTAAAAAAAAGTCTTTTTTTGAGATATAACACTAAAAAAATATATATATTTGATTCAAATAATTCAAATTACATATTTGAAAAATATTTGTTTCATTAATTTTTTATTTCGATTCAAAAAATCTCTCTATATTTGAGTTAGTGAAAAGTGAGTTACTAATTCACATTAGTTAGAATTTTTACTGATTTTAAGTAAAATATTATAATTTGATTTAGTAGTTTAAAATTTTTTTATTATGTTTTAGTAAGAAGTGACTAAAAATTAGTGGGAATTTTTACTAATTTAAATTAATAGCTCACTTTTCATTAATTCAGATTTAGAGAGATTATTTGAATCACACTTATTTAAACCAAATAAATAGAATTTTGGTCAAGTAAATAATTAACTGAAACTAATAAATAAATTTAACAAATTAGATAATTTTAAATAATAAATTTTTTAAAACAATTCATTTATTTATTTCTTCGAAATATTTGATTTTTCATAATAAAATTTATTTGTAATAAGTTTATTTTATTCATTCTTATACAATAAATTAATTGATACGAATAATCCAATAAATTTATTTCATGAATGCGAATAAACTGAAGTCTTTGATACTAAAAATTTTGTTTTATAAAAACAAATAAAAAATATTTCTATCAATTAAACATTTAATTTAAAAGAAGGTAATGAATTACTTGAAACTATTCTTTAATTTATTTCACTCAAATATTAGGTTTTTTGATACATATAAAATTTATTTGACACTATAAATGTATTTTATTGATTCAAAAAAATTAAATTATTTCAATCTAGTATTTAATGCTGATAAATTATTTTATAAAAACAAATAAGAAATATTTTAATCGAAGAAATAGTTTATTTGTAAGTGAAAATTATAAAAAAAAATATTTCTAATCACTGAAAAAATTATATTTTAGATTTAAGAATTTCTCCTTAAATAGGCGCCAAGAATACATATTCCTGTCAGTGGGAAATATTCTTACATTAAGAATAGTTGTAAATTCAGATGTTCATTACATGAACATTTTGCTTCCTCTTTACGATCAGCAAAAATATTTGTTTCCTCGTGGAGAAAGCATTAACATTGAAATAAACATACAAAAATAATATAATAATATAAACATTTGTGTACCTACATATTTGAGTTAAATTTAAAGAATTAATGGGAGTTAAAAAATCAAAAATTCACATTTTAGCTGAAATTTCTAAAAACTAATGAAAAATAATATATAATTATTTACAATTATATCGATTCATTTCAATGCCAGGAACACAATTATTTCATCTATAAACTTAAATTTAAATAATCACAAAATTTTATAGTCAAAATGTGCATTTTTGATTTTTTAACTTTCATTAATTCTTTAAATTTAAATTAAAACTATACTTTACATATACCATATAACATGTTTCTATATAGAGGAAATTTTGTGTCCGCCACTTTGAAAATTTTTATAAACGAAAGTACTACAAAGCTTCCACGAGGAAGCAATATATTACTTATTGTAAGAATATTTCCCACTAACTTTAAGTGGAGAATATTCTTGGCACCTATTTAAGAAGAAATTATTCAATCTAGAATATAATTTTTTCAGTGAAACCTTTTTAACTTTGCTGTAATATTAAAAAAAATTGTTTCAACAATAATTTATTTTAATACTTATTAAATCAATAAATAATTATATTAATTCAGAAATTTGTCTTATATGTATAATATAATATAACAATATTATAATACGCAGAGTGTAAGAGTCAATGTGCGTAGACGTATGTTAATTTGTGTTGTATAATTGAGCCTCCCAATTCTATAACTCGCCAGACGCTCGGACGGACGCTCTATTGGTAGTCGGGTAGCAGCGAAAGAGCCATTGACGCTCGCTTCTACCCGACTACCAATAGAGCGTCCGTCCGAGCGTCGGGCGAGTTATAGAATTGGAAGGCTCAATTTTGGTTTGAATAACGGGCGGTATCTGAGCAATTCTTTTAAGGAGAATTGAATGTAAGTAGGCTCTCATGCATATATTACTTGATTTGAAGCTTAAAGTACTACGAAAGTTCCTTATGATTGTTATAGATTATGTTTCATTCAATAATAATTCCAAATTTCTTTTTGTATAGAGCAATTAATATTTTTTACGAGGCTTTATATCAGTTTTACATATTATTGAAAAATTTAATTTCTTCATTAATTTTTTAATCACTTATTCTTTTATTTAATTAATTATTAATGTGACATTTTTATTGTTAAAACTTACCTAAAAAGGTGTATATTACCCTGGAATGTAAAAAACTTCAATATCACTTCTACACTAACAACTGTCACGGAATTTACTTGCGTATCACGCGCGGTTTGAGATCCTTCAAGATCGTCTCTCGCAAATGCTAGAGAGCAACTGACACTTGAGAAGCCTTCCTGTGAAAATGTCCTGGAAAATATTTCGAATAGTCTGTATTTTGTACTATCCAAAAATTTTCACAAAGTTTCAGTATGAACAAATCTATATAAAAAAAACGAGTACCTAAAACGCATAAAATAGACCCGTTCGTATCGAGAAACTCTGAGAGCCGGCCGGCCTAAGCCAAACCAGATGTGACAATCCTGTCAGAAAAAAATAAAATATTTTAAAGATCATAAATCTTTGCTGTAGAAATAAATAAATTCTTTATATTTATTTCGAAATATATTTTTTAAGTTAAATTTTAAAATGAAAAAATAATATAAAATATATTATATTAATACACAGAAAATTAAAAGGCATTAAAATAAGCTGCAACGCTTATTATTTTAATCCAATTTTGCTTATTTTCATACCAAAATGGATTAAAATAAGCAAAATTGGATTAAAATAATAAGCGTTGCAGCTTATTTTAAAGCCTTTTAATTTTCTGTGTATGTATATTCTTAGATATGTATATAATATATTTTAAAATTTAATAATTAGTTAATTAATTATCTTAGATGTATAAGTATATTTTAACCTTTAATAATTATTTATTTGGAAGATTTTAAAAGTGCATTAATTAATTAAAAAATTAACAATTAAAAAACTTTAGCAATAAAAAAATACAAGAGAACATTACTTAAACTAATAATAAAATTTTTTTTTTATTCCATAAATGTTTATAAAAATATACGCATTCTTCGAAAAATTTCCTAAAGGTTTTGGGTAACAAATTTTAAAAAAAAGTTTTCCAAATAGGGCAGTAATGCACAAGTTTGGAACAATTACTAAAATTTATGTGAAAATTGCATTACCTATAAGAATTTAAAAATTCCCTGAAAGATTACCAAAAAAATTTTTGAAATTATTACAGTAATAACACATAAGTTTCGTAGAATTACCAAAATTTTGGAAAAAATTCTTTACCCAGTAAAATTGGAAAATTTCCTAAGAAATTACCAAAAAATATTTTGGAAATAATTAGGGTAATAACACATAAGTTTCGTAGAATTACCAAAATTTTGGAAAAAATTCTTTACCCAGTAAAATTGAAAAATTTCCTAAGAAATTACCAAAAAAAATTTTGGAAATAATTAGGGTAATAATACACAATTTTTGTAGAAGTTCTAAAACTTTTGGGAAAACTTTTTTACCAACAAAAATTGAAAAATTTCCTAAGTAATTACCCAAAGTTTTGGAAAATTTTCCAAATCATTGGGGTAAAAATGAACAAATTTGGTAAAGTCACAAAAATACTTGGGGAAAATTATTTTACCTACAAAAATTGGTAATTCTACACAAGAAATAATAGGAAAATCTACCAAAATTTTTTACAGTGTAGGTACTCGAACGAATTTTTTTCAACAAGGGAATCCCCTATTTTTCAGTTGATTAGCCAACCCATGTAAATTTTACTTTTCACTATTTATGAGCATATGGGCATATCTCTAGAACTTTTAAACTTTGAGATATTAGAAAAATTAATTTTTTTTCAGGGCACATTCGTGAAACAAATTTTATTGTCTTCAGTATTGATCAAATACTATAAAAAAATTTGCGTAACTCATTTTTACACATTGTTACGCATCACAGTGGGTCTTATTGCAAAAAACCTGCCCAAAATCTCTAGATGTGTTTAAAACTGACTGAAATTTGATACTCGCGGATTTTTTTGGTCGCTGATTACAAATGCGACGTTAGTTTTTCAAAATTCAAAATGGCGGATCCAATATGGCGGACGACTTTTAAAAAAATTGATCGAATTTGTCTGAAATTTGTTACTCGGGGGTTTTTTGGGTCGCTACCACCTTTAAAATGATTTAATGCTACAGTTTCGAAAATTTTATGGCCTATTGCTTATTAAGTCATAAGTAAATGTAGTTTATAACAATTTTTGAATTTTTAAAAATTTAATTTTTTAAAAATTTTTTAAAAAATTTTGTTTGCAATTTTGGATCCACCATTTTCAATTTTTAAAAATTAAGTTCAGATTCGTAATCAGCGACCCCATAAACCCCCGAGTAACAAATTTTAGGCCAATGGGATCACTTTTTTAAAAAGTCGTCCGCCATATTGGATTCGCCATTTTGAATTTTGGAAAATTTAAAATTCAGATTAGTAGTCGCAGCAACCCCAAAAACCTTCGAGTGAGAAATATCAGCCAGATTTAAACACATCTATTGGTTAATACTTACTTTTCTTCACAAACTATGCGTCGGACAGTTTAGGTTTATATTCATTATTAATTATACAGTTTTAATGAAGTGTGCAAAGGTTAACTATTTTTCTGTATACTTTTATAATGCATGAGAAGAGATTACAATGAGTTGGGAGCATTTAGAAGCAAAATTCAACATGTGCTTTTCAAATATGTGGTATTTTGATTTGAGTTACGTTTTAAAATTTAATGTTTGAAGTCATTGCATTCTTTGTGTAAAGGAGGCACACATTCCTGTATGGGTTTAAATTACTTCTTATTAGGTAGATAATATAATCCCGTTGTGCCGTTACTCAAAAACCTTCGTTAAAAAAGTTATATCAGTTTAACTGCTAACTTGTAGAAATTTTGAAAAAGTTGTCTCGCAAGTTTGAAGCTACATAGTTTTTATTCAATTTGAGGCACATCATTGTTTCATGGATTTTTTAGTTCTTTACACTCCCACCGACTCCTATTGCAAGCCACAAGACACACAATGTTTCGTTAAAAAAGTTACAGTCTATAAACTAAAAAAACCAGTCAATATCACACACTAGAAACTGTCGATTTCACCACTTTAACTTACGTTCGTCATTTCCTACATAATTAAAAAAATTATATAACGCATGATACATATAAAAAGCCCTATAATTGGTCAAATTATGGTATTGAAAAATTATTTAAAAAATTCTTAAGGTATCATAATGAGCGATAACATAAAGTTTAAAAGTTCTAGAGATATGCCCATATATGTTTTTAATAAAAATAAAATTTTATTTAAAACAATTTAAATTTAATAAGTAATTCTTATTTTATAATTTTATAAATTAAATTTTGTTAAACTTTAAAAAAATTTACTATTAGTAATGTTTTTATAAATTGTTTATTAAATAAAATTTAAGGGTGTACTTCCGAAGTAGGGGTACCTCCGATCTTAATGAAACTTGGTATACTAACGTATTTTGGTGCGCTGATTACGAAAATGATAGTGAAAATTGGCGCAAATTTGATTATCATGGTAAAAACCATAAAAAAGCACCATAAAATCATGGTTTTTTACGATTATCTCGTAAAAAACAAAAAATTTCGAAAAAAGTTTTAGACAAAAGTTGTAGATCTCAAAAAAACACACATTTTATGTTTTATGCATTTTTTACCAAAAGTCATTATTTTTCGAGAAAAATCCAAAAAACGAAAAACACCATGATAATGAAAACATATACAGCAGTCATGGTTAGACATATTATTTGACTCGTATATAGTATTATATTCATCATTACTCAGGATCCAACGAATTCCGCAAAATACTTTCGGCCATATCCACCCCTTCTCGCCAAGGTTATTTTAAAAAGAAAAGCGAGCAGTACTTTACGCGTACGAAGGCCGTGTTTACTATATTGCGTTTACCGCTGCTGTGGACTCCACCCCACAATTTCCACAAATTACTTTCGGACACATCCACCCCCTCTCGCCAAGATTTCTTAAAAAGAGAAGCGAGCAGTACCCTACACGGCCGAAGGCCGTGTTTACTATTTTGCATTTACCGCTGCTGTAGACTCCACCCCACAATTTCCGCAAATTACTTTCGGACCATTTTTCTCGAAAAATAATGACTTTGGTAAAAAATGCATAAAACATAAAATGTGTGTTTTTTTGAGATCTACAACTTTTGTCTAAAATTTTTTTCGAAATTTTTTGTTTTTTACGAGATAATCGTAAAAAACCATGATTTTATAGTGTTTTTTTATGGTTTTTACCATGATAATCAAATTTGCGCCAATTTTCACTATCATTTTCGTAATCAGCGCACCAAAATACGTTAGCATACAAAGTTTCATTAGGATCGGAGGTACCCCTACTTCGGAAGTATATCCACATTTAATTTTGAATATTAATATTTTCTTAGTGAATAACATTAACGTAACATTTTAATTTATAATTAAAATTTTTCTTTAAATTCAAATTTCTTTGAATTTAAAAAATTTTATGTATTTTTTTGAAATTCTTTAATGCAGTAAAATTCTTGTTTATACTCGTCATAATAAAAGAAAATTATATTTATTAAATTATAACATTAGACAGAACGTCATATGTTTATTTATTTGTTAAAATCATAGCAAGTTGGTTTGAAATATTTCAAATAAACGCGCGCTAATTCTCTTTAATCAATCAGGTGATATACAAGGAAAAAGGAAATCAAAATTATATTGTATATTCTTCTATAAAGTTGCTCATTAGCTTTATTAAGATTTATGATAAAAACAAAAAATACAATTTTAAGTTAACATTTTAGGCAAAAAAAAGTTCCGATTAATTATTGGCGCAAGTTCGGTTTGTCAATCGTGGCAGAAGTTAAATCTGCAATTAAAAACTATGAAGGGGATCGGATTAATACTCACTATAATCCTAAATTAGCCGAGTACTTATTCTCCCATATGAATTGGTTGCCTTTGTGGTCCAACATAAAAAGGGACGATTTTGGTTTTGGAAGAGTACCAGCAGCTAGTGCTTCTGTTGAATCCGATTTCAATAATATTAAAAACCGAATTTTTAAAAATGATTCGTTACCACCCTGGCGGATCTCGAAATCGGAACGTACGCTGAATTCGTTGTACATTCGTTACATATTGGTTAAACGAGCAATTCCATGGTAAGTGATCATGGAAATTTCTTTTGGGTTAGGGATTTAAATGA